TATTCTGACAAGTCCCTGTACACCCAGCTGTGCTTTTACCGCTACATTTTTGATGTGGAGTGTGCACTGGAGAAACTTATTACCGATCATGAGAAAGGTACGTTAAAATACTGTAATTACCTTTGAGTTTAAAGTGGAAATTTGCATCATAAAAGCCAGACCTACTGTGTCAGGCTGTTCATGCAGCATCGCACCACTGTCTGAGAAGCAGGCCGTGGGGGCTGTTGTGAGCACAGGCATCCCCTGCATGAGAGGCGGTAGCATAGGAATCCCCGGCTTTGGCCCCCTCAGCCTTTCTCACATTGTTCTCTATTAAAGCTGGGCTTTGCAGGAGGAACAGTACAGAAAGGACTCTTTAAATGCTATATTTTGAAAATGCTATTTTCTATAGAGTTTAGTAATTGTAATGAAGTAAGCATAGGCAACGTGATCATTGGACCTACAAAAACCAGATATTACCAGAAAAAATAGACCTGGAGTATGTCTCTGCTGTTCACTAAAAGCCTAGGTTCATTTTGAGACACAGGACTGGGGTGGAGTTCTTTTATTGACTCCATCCTAAGAGAGCATATAGATGCCTCAGCCCAGATTATCAGGTGCTACCTATGTCTTACACAAGACTTGCAGGCACTTGTGGGGCTTAATAGGCCTGAGAAAAGCTTTGTTACATAACTTAAAGTATTTGAAAATGTCATGACAAGTGCATGGGTTTTTTTTCTCCTACCCAAAAATCACATTGACAACTTTTCTATTACCTGTAAAATATTAAAAAAAAGGTGAGTTTACACATTTTTCGTATTGGTTACCTATAAAGTATTTATGTTGTTTGCCATTGAACATCAACGACATTTTGTTGGTCAGTGCCAGGGCTAGAGGCAACCTCAAGGACATATAGAAACCTACAAATACTTCTGAATTTCCTCACATAAGAATTACCATGCCCTTGATTTGGTCTTAACTCTTCTGTTCTAGTCATAATTGACTTCAGTTCTTCCATTTACAAGATAGGCTAGAATTTTTTCTTTTTTAATGCCTTGACTTCCTTGTTTTTTCTGTCTTTGAATATAAAATACTTTGATGGAGATTTTCAAATATTAGTATCTTGTATTTAGATGTTCAGCAACACCTTGGGCTACCTCCACAACTTATTTTCAGCCAATTAATTAAATTTATAAGAGAAAATTTATCACATAAAGTTGTATATCTACATATATATAAATTAGATTTATATAAGAGAAAAAACTCCTTTAATCCATTAGTAACTAGGTTTTTGAACTTTCTTTCATGATTGGAGTCTAGCCCATGTTTATTTGCATATCAACAATAAGTGTTTCTGTTTTACCTCCAAGGATCTTTCCTTAAAGGCCTTAAGCATTTAGAGAATTAAGTACTGTTTGATGAGTACATTGTCCCTTTCTGTCAAGTTTGTTACCTCTTTTTGGGTATCTGTATATTAGAACTTGATTCCCTTTTACTTCTTTCTGAATCCAAATTGGTCCCTAGATGTTCTTAGATTCTTAGGGGATAGATTCCTCTTCCAGACATTTCTAAAATTCTTATCTGAAGGGCTGAATGATGAGCAGTTTTCAGAAAGCCCAGTGACTTGGAGACTTGTAGAAGTGATCTGTAAAGTCACTGGAAACTTACCCCCTGCTTTTTAGAGAACATGGAGGAATGTATGTTGCTCTCCTGGAAAATAGGATGGAACAGAGTAATCACTTGCAAAATTCTTGCTTGGCAAAAAGTGAGAAGTGTTGATAGAATCTGTATACTCACACTATTTAGTTCTGTTTCACAAGTTTAAGAATTGGGAGGGGTTTTTTTTTTGTCATTTGCTTCTAATAAACACACTATTCAGGAGTTCAGAGCCAAAACGGCATGGAGTGAATTACTGACTTGCTCTTTTACATATCAGAAGGATAAAGAAAATAAAGCAAAAGAAGGGTACAAAATGGATGTCTGACAGAAAGAACTTCTTTAAACGTTTCAAGATCCTTTTGCTTTCTTTATGGAGTGTTAATTAGTGTAACTATTTTTCCTTTGATCTTCTGCTTATTTTTATTCCTAAATTGCATCTTTGGAACGAAGGGATTTAGATAAAATTTACTTGGCCTGGACATTTTTGGATAATTTAATAGTGGTAAGTGGTGGTAGTATATTTGTAAGTGGTGGGATATAAATAAAAGGCTAGGTCATGCCATGGTCCAAGAGCACAGATTTCCTAACAAATGACATTTGATAAACTCTTACCTAAGAGTCACCTGGTACATATAAAAATATAAATCCATGGCTCCTACACCAGAATTTCTACTTCAGAAGGGATGGGGTAAAATTTAAGAAACTCAACTTTTTAGAAAGTCCCCCCAGACAGTTCTGAGCACATGATTTGGACAGGTTCTAAGTAGAAGAGATTTGAACATAGGTTGTAATCCATAGGGAACAATTGGAGAGCAAGAATATTCTTACAGTCCATAGGCGAACAGTTACAGGGGAAACTTCCGTAAGTATAAATTAAGGTAACACATATAAAATTCACTTCTCACTTTATGAGTTGGAGTGAAATGCTGTCTTCTGATTAGCTATTCAAGGGAGATTTGCTGTTAAAAAGAACTGAAAATCTGTGGGATCCAGAGGGCAAATAAATTTATTCAATTTGGACCAAGGCCAGAACACCAATAGATGTTAACATCAAAAGTCCTGTGAAAAATGACAGTAGTTACACACAATTATATTATTGAGAATGGAATCTAAGTATCGTCTGTCAACAAGCACCCTGAAACTGGCGTGTAAAGTATTTACCATAGACTCTCCTTTACTCTTGGTACCCTAGCAACATTTCCCTCACTAAGATAGTTTTACCATTTCCATTATAAAGCCCATATTTTGAGGGTTGTAACTGGATGGTGGCTTTAATCTGTGTTTGAAACTTGTCAATTTGACTTGGGGAAAAAAATCACATACAAATTATTGGAAAGAGGTTTATTTTTATGGTGAAAAGTAGCTCTTGTCAAAGCTTTTTCCTGTGCTTTGCTTTTCAAACGAAGGTTTACAGGCCATTAGTCCATAATGTGAATTAACCCCATTTGGTATTTGTCCCTTTCCTTTAAGATGATAAGGGACTGTTTTCCAGTTTGGTGAAGTATTTACTGCATATTCACTGTAAATAGCATAACATTTTAAAAATCTCATTTCTTTGGGGCTTGGCATTATTATTGTAACTGCTCCAGAATGTACACAGATGGCATAATAGATCCAAAAGTTTTAGAGGAACATAGTGGCAATATATGAAGTAAAAAACCATTTCCATGGTGGCAGCACATAATGGTCCCATTTGGCTGCCTCATCCCAGGGGGACCTTGGCCTGAGTAGGGATAAGTGAACTATTTGAGGGAGACATGAATCAATTCAAATCTTTGCCCAGTTGTCTAAAGTAAGCCTGCTTAAAAATAAAGGAAGAAAAAGAGTCTGACTTTTGTCAACTGAGCCTTTTTTCATTTATTCAGCAGTGATAAAAACAGTACATATATATTTCCTGTTATTTGTTGAATACCGTCCTAAATGTCAGAAAAACAAAGATGGTCAATGTTCCCTGCCCTAGAGGAGCTAAGAGCCCTTTGCAGACATAAAAATTCAACTGCAGCTAAGTGTGATAAGCCACTGACGTGGTCAAATTGTTTTGGAAGCAAAGAAAGGGATCCACTAACTGCCTTTCTTAATAGACTTTATTTTTTAACACAGTTGTAGGTTCACAGCAAAACTGAACAGAAGGTACAGAGATTCCCCATGTACCTCCTGCCCCCACACATGCACAGCCTTCCTGATTATCAACATCACCCACCAGAGTGGGTTGTTTGCTGAACCTACATTGACACATTGTTATCACCCACAGTCCATACTTTACCTTAGGGCTCACTCAGTCATTCTGTGAGTTTACACAAATATATAATGACATGTATCCACCATTATATTAGATTGGTGCAAAATAATTACAGTTTTTACATTGTTGAAATTTGCCATTTGATACTGGAATATGTTAATAAATGTGGTTATGTTACATACATTATTTTAATGTACGTTTCTTGCTTTTTTTGAGTCGTTCAATTGTGTCTGACTCTTTGCGACCCCATGGACTGTAGCCTGCCAGGCTCCTCCATCCATGGGATTTTCCAGGCAAGAATACTGGAGTGGGTTGCCATTTCCTTCTCCAGGAGATCTTCCCGACCCAGGGATCGAACCCGGGTCTCCCACATTGCAGGCAGACTCTTTACTGTCTTAGCCACCAGGGAATCCCAATGGCTTATTACTTGCTATTTATATTTATTTTGGACTGTGGAAATAATGTTAGCCAAAAGTAAATTTGAGCAATTTTCTTAATTTGAGTTAAAAATGGGTCATAAAGCAGCAGAGACAACTTGCAACATCAACAAGACATTTGGCCCAGGAACTGCTAATGAATGTACAGTGCACTGGTGGTTCAAGAGGTTTTGCAAAGGAGATGAGAGCCTTGAAGATGAGGAGCATCGTGGCTGACCGTTGGAAGTTGACAGTGACCAAATTGAGAGCCATCATCAAAGGTGATCCTCTTACACAGGAAGTTGCCAAAGAACTCAACATCAACCATTCTATGGTCATTCAGCATTTGAAGCAAACGGGAAAGATGAAAAACTCAGTTAGTGAATGCCTCATGAACTGACCAAAAATTTTAAAAAAATTGTTTTGAAGTGCCATCTTCTCTTATTCTACACAACAACAAATCATTTCTCAATTAAATTGTGATGTGTGATAAAAAGTGGATTGCATACGACAGCTGGTGACAGCCAGCTCAGTGGTTGTACCGAGAAGAAGCTCCAGAGCACCTTCCAAACTTCCAAAGCCAAACTTGCACCAGAAAAAAGTCATGGTCACTGGTGGTTTGCTGCCCATCTGATCCACTACAGTTTTCTGAATCCTGGTGAAACCATTATATCTGAGAAGTAGGTTCACCAATTTGTGAGATGCACCAAAAACTGCAATGCCTGCAACTGATATTGGTCCACAGAAAGGGCCCAGTTCTTCTTCATGACAGCACCCGACTATACAATGCATAGCTGCTTCAAA